AGGTTTTAATTGGTGACATCAGGACTGAAAAAATGCATCGATACAGTAGAAAAATTGAAGCAGTGGTCGGTCATAAGACTGCAGGAGAAAAGTGCGCGGCCGTCAGTTAATGGGAAATAGTAAACATACGCGACTACTTACTCATCATGAGTAGTTAAATTATAAAAATTCAAAAGTATGGTATCTCGGCTCATAGGCAATGCTATTAGGTGGGACAAAAAAGGACAACGGTGGAAGGATAACTTTTCATAAAAGTGAAAGACATGATTTTGTGGACGCAAGCGGGGCTCAGAATCGAGTAGAGGCGATAATTTACCTGATTTGAGTTTCAACCACCGTAACAACCAAAAGCCAAAAATGAAACGAAACTTACGCGTAACTTTGAGGAGCCCGTGGTGAGAGATTGAGTCAAAGTGCAGAGGCACTGTTGGCCTTCCGCGCTTAGGAAATAAAAGATACCTGCAAATAGGAGAGGCAGATATAAAGACTGGGACGAATGCAAACGTTGGGGGATAGGAGCGAGGGAGAAGCGGGTACTAAAAGCCATATCATTTAGGTCATGCAGCTACAGAAGCACTGGCGAAACACGTTTACGAGCAGTTAACTAGTACTATGTGAGTACTATGATCAGATCTCGGTCAAATAGTATAGTGTTACGCAATGCTAACTTGAGTCTGGCGGCATTATATGAGATTCCACAAGAGCTCACTGTATCCAACTCACATGGCGACTAACTTCCATGTCCAGCTATAATGTAGTAAACGTCATTACGCCAACTTATACCCAAAACAACCCAAAATAGATTTAACACAAACTTACCTGGCCAGGACCGCAGAAGTAGAATAAGGGCACCAATGGAGAAGGTGATACTGTCAGGGTATCTAAAGCGATGAACAGCTTCAAGTTCACAAAATCAGAAACAGTAGGGAACACAAGATGCAAAGACAGCTGACAATGGGAGACCACGTTAGACGGGACAAAAAATACGAAAAATGCATGAAAATACGACGAGTGTCACTTACGTATCAAAGGCTGATCGGGGTATGGATACCAACGGAAAGCTGGTAGTGAATGGTACGAGAAATTTCTGTGGGAAAAAAGTTTGACAGTTTCCTTTAGGATTTAATTGGTGGACGAGTTCAAACTTTGTAATTAAGTTAAAATTACGGACTTATATACCTCTAGTCCTAGCACGTTCTCCTACGGAAACGGTGGTTATAGGGGGTTTTGGGGTGGGGAAATAGGATAGGCAGTGAAGAAAATGTGTAGAGGTAAGTGGAAACATATAGCAGAATTTATTTCCTACGGCCGCTGCGAGTAAGTTTTCCGTATGTAAATTGGAGTTGTGCGCCGCGGACTATACTAATCTACCTTCAGAACGGTAAGTTGAACCTCAGGTAAGTTAAAGTAGACGATCGTCTAACCACCATTTTATTTTTCAGGAATTTCTAGAAACCCACATTTTAATAATTAGGTTTTTCCGCAATACGTTAAAGGAAAATAGAGACTACGAAAACCTACAGATCTAAATCAGCAACATTTATAAACACCATAAAATAAAATGCATATAACGCTTACTAAAGTATATTTCGCAGCCTATTCCTATTCTCCACTCACGAAAGCCACTATAACCACCGTTTCCGTAGGACAAAATGCTGGAACTAGGGGTATATGGGGTGAACTACTTCAGCTACTGTTCCTAAATTATGTATGGAGAACCGATCGGTTTCCACGAAACAATAACGAAACAGTTCCAATCTGCCAAACCCTCCTAATAATTATGTGAGTCTAGTAATCATTCGGGTGAATTCTAGATGATTGGTTAGGAAATCCAGCCTGAGCAGTCAGCTTACTGTATCCGTAATGGTGGATTCCATACGTGCAGTAAAGCTGGGTGGATAAATCGACCCAAGTGCGAATAAATTCACGGGTCACAGTGAGCCTCGTAGCTCAATGGCAGAGCGTTGGTTGCGCAAGAAAGCCTGTCTTGCTGTATGGGTTTGACTGCCACCGCGGCCGATAATTTTTCGCAATTGGATCAACTGAATTAAGCAAATCTGCCAAACCCGCCTGGAATCAGAAATCTTCTCCCTTCGCACGAATGATGTGCCTAAACTGATCTTAGGCGAACGATTAGGACGAGACGTGCCCATGCGGCCCAAGTGTCACAGCACGCTGAGGACAAGGTTGAGCCACAGAGAAGTTTGTAAATTATACAGTGGCAGTTCAACTGTCGATTTCGATTATATCCACAGTATGCTCCACGCCAGAGTCGTGCAGGGACGACGACTTGCGCAACATCTACCGCCCCCTTTTATCCCTCTTTCACTTCAGCTCGGTGTCAAGACAGAGTCGAGAAGACCGGCGGTGAAATCGGGCGCAATGGCTGACAGAGCCGGTATAACGTCAAACTTGCCACGGCGGTTGGCGTCTCGTCATGCATAACAGACCGCCTTTAGAGGTAACGCTTCAATGAGTATTGGTTTTCCAACTGTAAGGATTTTAAGTTTCTAACAAGCAGGCGTGCTGTCACTTAGCTAACTGTATTCATAATGCATTCATTGAGAGCGTTTGGGCAGTTAAGGCTCTATTGAGTTGGCGCAAGTCGAAGTCAAAACTTAGAGGTTCATAATCAATTAGGAGCACTGATAACGAAAATGCATTTGGATCAGCGACGGGTCTGTCTTCAAATGTCCTTGACTTTAATGGACAAGTCAAGTTTAATGAGTAGCAAGCACCTCCTGCGCGATTTGTTTCTGTCGGTGGTCAACAGTGTACAGTTTTTATTCCACTATTTTGTCAAGTTGAACAGTCTTTGGCCGCCAAGCTAGCGAATTGGAGGTTCGCATCACCGGGTGGAAACGCCGAAACTGTGGGCAGCATCGAATTTAGTGACATAAGTAAATCCTCATCTTCAGTGACTTCTATAAATGGTAACTCGGTACGTCAGAACCGGGCAAAAATTTAAGTTCGCACCTCTGACTTGCTCTTAAGTGTTCTTGACTGGCACCAGCAACCAACGTTTACGGAGTTGGATTGGTAAATTTACTGTCTTTCAAAATTTTTCCTAAGAATCGCTGAGTAAACTTTCTTTTAGGAAACAAATTCCCTGCATTGGTAACAGCTGGGTGTGTGCATTTATGCAAATGTGAGACGTTAAGGGGGGGAGGATTTCGACGAACCTGGAAAGTATCTGGTCCAAGGAGGCGCCGACCATACGGACAGTCCGCGAGGCTGATTAACGCCAACAGGAGAGTCTCCAACAGAAGAACAGGATGCTTCACATTCTCACACGAGGCCAGATCACTAAGAAAGACCTGTTGCACGCATTTGGCACAGTTCCGCAGGGCCAACAGGGTCTGGCGGGATTGGGAGGTGCAGGAAGAGATTGTTTTTGCAGCAGCAGTGGTGTTGGTGGTAGGAGTTGTCGTTGGTCCGCGAGAAGTGTGCAACAGAACTAGAAGGAAGAGAAAAATGGGTAACAATAAAGTTGCCCGAGGTCCAGAAATATTTATACTGAAACACTAATCAGTAAGAATCACTACTAATACTACTAATACTACCACCACTACTACTACTAATACCAATACCACTTCCATTACTAAAACCACTACTGTCAGCATTACATGCTGAGCCACGTCGAGTATCACTGTCTCGCCAACCCTACACCGAACACAACGAACGACAGTTGAAAACCCGCAACACGCTAGTCGATGCTGAGCCACGTTAAATAGCACTGAGTCACAACCCCCAACCCGAAGATAGCGGACGACAACTGAAAAACCTGGAGCACGTCTGAACACAGTGCACTGACCATCTGAGTCAACCGTATCGACCGCGACCACATCTGTGGCTGCCGCCGCATGGGAGAGCCATCCCCTCACCTTTCTATACGGAGAGCCGTAGGACTCCTTCCCCGTCCCAAATCCTACCGTAACCGTTTTTCCACCGAATCCCGCCCCCTCATTGTTCATTGGCCTCCTGCCTGCCATTGTCTATCCTCTTGCACAAACCGGCCTTAACCGGCCATTTCACTTTTTCCATTGTAAACCTAGTCCGACGACGGACCGCTGCTAGCTGCTTGAAAATTCACAAGTATATCTTGTTTTTCCGACGAGCCTTCCTTTTTCATATAGATATATATCTAATAAATGTAATTTAGTAGGCGTAGTTGTGTTTACTGCTGCATCATCGTTATCATCAATACTGCAGCCTAAAACTCGGAAATCGTTAGTTCCTTGTAGATACTTTTATTTTTATTACATGTAATTTTAGTTACGTTTTCAGTTTATTGTTTAGTTTGTTAGTTTACTATTAGTTAAAATATTAATACAACTTAATTTATAAGGGACATACTGTTGCTTTTCGGCTCCCTGATTCACACCTCCCCCTGCCCGCATTTTTGCTTTAACGTTTTTTTCCCTATCTCACTGTCCATAGTGCTTCACC